GGCATGGTGGTTTAGCACCTCATCCCTTAAGCATGAGGTTGGGGGTTTGATCCCCATCCATGTGAATGGAGCAAATCGTTTGGCCAGTCTCCTCCCGTCGACAATGACTAGTCGAGACCGAACGAAACTGTTGTCGACGAACGGAGCTCGAGCCACAACCCAGGCTCGACTCATTTACACCTCTACCATAACCTAACCTACATATATAGACACTTTAAAAATGCACAAAAGTTACTATATGAATGCACATAATCTATCTAGTGTGCATTCTCGAAAGGTAAGTAATAAGTGGATTGAGAAAACGAAAGAAAGTAAAGAAAACCCATATATATATATATATTATTGTGTTAGTTAACCAGAACAGTACAAAGTAATTACAAAGTAGAAAAACTTGGGGTGCACCTCGCCATCTGTTTCCCAACCCCATCAAGCACCAATCTTTTAATGTAGGCTCAATTGTTCACTACGCACTTAATTAATCCCGGTATATAACTTCTAAAAACTAAAATATATTCATCATAAGAGTAGGATATTTTCAGTAACAGCTTAGACCGCGAAAGAAAGAAAATGGAAATGCAAGTGGGACCTAGAATGCCAGGTAATGGTCCTGGTTACTCCATCCATCTTCATCTTCATCTTCATCTTCATTCCCTGTCAAGCAGGAGCCAAGCTGAAGAAGACATGTAACGCACAGTGCAATGCAATTATGGACCGGGAGGTGGGGCCCAATTACACCATGGACCATGGTCTATCTTGCATTATAGACCCCGATCCAAAAATAACATTTTTAGTTGATACATTCTGTATCTGTAGGTTGCCAAATTTTGTATCTATAATTTCTGTACATGTAGCTATCATATTATGTGTCAACAATTACCAAGTTATTTGTTTACATGTACAGAAACTGTTAATTGTATATACAGAGTATGTTATCAGGATTTACAACGCAATAAACCCTAGTCCATGGTATAACAATTGAGAGGTGGGGGTGAGGGTTTAAACACAGTCAAAGTGGGCAAATTATTGTGTGGACCATTATGTGGACCATAACAAAAAGTACATTTTTAATATACTAAATGTACATTATTTTTGTACTGAATGTACATTATACAATATAATGTACACTCAGAACAAAAATAATGTACATCCCTTGAATACAATATACATTATTTTTGTACTGAATGTACATTATTTTACAATAGACAAAATATGATCCACACCATTTGTGTGGGTCATGGTCCACACAATAATGATTCGCAAATTATGCCATGGAATCGTGTTCACCGAGAATGGTGAACACAAGGCAAAACGACGTCGTTTTTAGGCCCAAAAAAAAAAATCGCGGATGTGGAGTTAACGGCGCGTCGTTTGATCAAATTATGAATTTTCTGTTATGAGATTATGAATTTTATGAAAATTCATAATCTCATAACAGAAAATTCATAATCGCATAACAGAAAATTCATAATCTCACAATTGAAAATTCATAATCTCACAACTGAAAATTCATAATCTCATAACAGAAAATTCATAATCTTATAACAGAAAATTCATAATCTCATGGTTCCAAAGTGAATGTGTAGGCATGGTTCCAAAGTGAATGTGCAGGCATGGATTCATAATTTATGAATGTCCGTGATTTCGGACGGGAATATGTAGGCATGGTTCCAAAGTGGATGTGCAGGCATGAATTCATAATTTATGAATGTCCGAAATTATGAATGTAATGAAAATTCATAATCTCATAACAGAAAATTCATAATCGCATAATAGAAAATTCATAATCTCATAACAGAAAATTCATAATCTTATAACAGAAAATTCATAATCTCATGGTTTCAAAGTGAATGTGTAGGCATGGTTCCAAAGTGAATGTACAGCCATGGATTCATAATTTATGAATGTCCGCGATTTTGAACGGGAATGTGTAGGCATGGTTCCAAAGTGAATGTGCAGGCATGAATTCATAATTTATGAATGTCCGAAATTTTTGTTCACTTCAAATTAAAGTGAAACCGCAAAATGTGAAAATAAAGAAGAAAAGTCACGCAATTAAAAAAAAAAAAAAGAATAACGGTGTACTAACACCGTTAGAATCGTGTTCACCATTCATGGTGAACACGGTTCCATGGCATAACGTCTGATAATGATTGGTCAAAGTGTGAAACATCTGAATTGATTTTGAAGATGGGCCCAAATGGAGTTGGGCCATTGGGCAGCCCATTGAACTTGTGGCTGAGATGGAAGGCAATCCACCTGGGTTTACTCCCCACCACAAGCTGCGCTGGCTGCCTGCGTTGACTCAGCTGTAATGAGTGGACTCGGCTGTTGCCACGACAGCTTATCAAATTAATAGGGCAGGACAAAGCTTCTTTAAATCCCCCTTGTGTTTGAATTGAAGTTATTGCCATTGCAATTTGCAAGTGGAAGTGCATGGTTGATGTTGATCTTTCACGTTGTTTAAATGTAATAATTTGTGATTGGATTGTTTAGTAATTGGTGTATTAAATCACACTCCGTAGATTAAATGTACATAGTGTTAAGGAATAAAGAGACATTTAATTCATGAAATGTTTAATTATTTTAGAGAAAATTAGATTAAATTGTTAAAAATGATAGATTAGATATACGTGTTTGGTTAAATTTGAGATATGCAATATAAACCTATTTGATTTAAGAGTTATCTTTTATATATATATATACTCATGATCAAATGAGTTCATCCCTTCTCATGAGTCCGTGTGAACAGATTTGATCTATTTAAAATTAGAGATAAATAATCAGATCTGATCGATTATTAACTGTGCAACTGTGTAATTGCAGTTGTATAGTTAGTTGATGCTTTAGGTGAAACTTTCACAATTGTGACGGTAAGGTAAGATTTTGGTGATTTATGACGTTGATGCTTCCAAAACCACGTAGGATAGACACCGGTTATCAAGTTTACGGTTGTAGCAGTGCAGAACGAAAGAAAGAAGACTAAGTGCGTGGCAATGCACATCCAAACACGTATACTTTCTGCCTTGGATAAACATGCTTTACCAATGAAAATTATTAGCAATAAGCATTTCTACATCAGATACATTTTTTGACATTGAAAGCTCACACAAACCTTTTGGAGGCCATTTACATAATTAAAAAGCTTTTGAGCTATAGAAAAAGACGTTTCAATCTGCATTTAAGGGGTTTAAATTGATTTTTTTTTTTTTTGATAAATTTTTTGTTCCTTATTCTTACTCCTATATACTTTTACATATATTTATTTAAGAAGAAATGGTCAAATGAAACCTCAAACTATATGTGAGACTCTAAAATAATAATAAAAAGTTCCAATAGACACCTCAACTCATCAATTTGATGTAATTGAGTTGATTAGCCAATTAACTTTAGATAATCAATACAAAGTGACATTTTAAATTTTTAATTCAAATAAATTAATTTAAAAATTTAAAAATGTTTCTTAGAGATGCTAGCCACAGCTTCCCCGTTGGACGAAGAAGTCCTTCTTCATTCAAATCTGGATAGAGAAGCAGACAATAATATATTTTCTTTTCAAAAAAAAAATCATTTGAAAAAGCTTACACCGTCAATGCATTTTATTGATTTCTACCTTGAGTTTACCAGCCAATTGACTTAATAACCCTTAATTACATCAATTTGATCAACTATTAGTTTAATTGTATGAATTTGACGAGTTAAAGTGTTCATTTTTATAATTTAAGAAGCTAAGTTATTTGGCCTATAATTTGAGAGCTTAGCTATATGATCTTCTCCTTTTTATTTATATTTATAGTGTATATATACCCGAATATTACTTTTAATTATAAAACTAGTAAACAGTTTATATTTATTCAGAAAAGTTACAAACATACCCTATATTTTTTATATTTTATGTTTTTTTTTATTATTTTTATTTCCAAATATATATATATATATATATATATATATATATATATATATATATATATATATATATATATATATATATATATATGTTATCTATTTTCCAGATCGCATCAAGGAAAGCTCATAAGAACAGGTTCATACCAGCGCTCACACGTCGTCTATTAATTATGAAAAAGGCCAAATAAATCATTAAATTTTTACACTTTGTACAATAGAACCATCAAATAAAAAAGTGAGGCCATTAAAAAAATAAAAATTGTGCAAATAACATTCTTTACAAATTATTTCTAAGTTTCTAGTAAAATTTGATGTCATAATGTTAAATTAAATATAAAAATAATTAAAAAAAAATCAAAAGAAAGTTCATCTACTGTGGATAAAGGGAAAGGCCGTCATGGCTGCTCCCACCTTCGTCCAATTTGAACGAAGGGGAGGCAACCATGGCTGCTCCCTCCTTCATCCAAATCGGATAAAGGAGGGGGCAACCATGGCTGCCTCCATCCTCGTCCAAAACAAAGGTGAGGGCAACCATGGTTATCATTCCCTTCATCCACAACAAACGAAGGTGTAGGCAATCATGCCCTTACACCTTTTAAAATTAAATTTTTTTTTAAAATAATAATTAAAATAATTTATATATATACACCATAATAATTTAACATTATGACATTATATTTAATAGAAACTTGAAAATAACTTATAATAAAATACTATTTGTATAATTTTTGAGTTCTTAATAATTTAATTACATATTTTTTTTGTTCAATGATCAATTACACACAATGTAAAAGTTCAATGGCCTATATGACATTTTTTTCACTAATTTGATGTGAAGAACGTTTCTCCCAGAGTGTGGGCAGCAAACGGATTCCAAAAGCCAAAGCCATTGACAGGACAGGTCTGTAAAACAGAATCTGGGTCAGCGGGACCCCGCGGCTGGCCCCACCAGAATCACAGCCAGCCACAAGATAATACAACCTTTTGCAACCCGCTAATATCGCACCACGTGTCAGCTCTGGATTCTCCTCCCACTCTCCCTTCCAACTTGCTCACTGCTACCACAAAGTCATAAAAAGCATAGCTGCAGGACTCGGTCACTCTAAATAAATACGTTTGAGTGTGTGTAGTCTTACGTGTGTGCGAGGAAACACTCAAAAAAACCAATGTTGAAGGAAGAGAGCTGTGAGGTTTTGGATTTGGACGTTACCATTGGGAGCAGCAGCGGCAGCAGAAGTGGCAACAAGCAGAACTGGGCTCGGGTCTGCGACATATGCCGTTCCGCGGCATGCAGCGTTTACTGCCGGGCGGACTTGGCTTACCTCTGCGGCGGCTGCGACGCCCGCGTGCATGGCGCCAACACCGTGGCGGGGAGACACGAGCGCGTGCTGGTTTGTGAGGCGTGCGAGAGCGCTCCGGCCACGGTCATATGTAAGGCGGATGCGGCGTCGCTTTGTGCGGCCTGCGACTCGGATATCCACTCCGCCAACCCGCTGGCACGCCGCCACCACCGTGTCCCGATTCTGCCCATTTCAGGCACCCTTTATGGGCCTCCCACCAGTAACCCCTGCAGGGAGAGTTCCATGATGGTTGGGCTGACGGGAGATGCGGCGGAGGAGGACAATGGGTTCTTGACTCAGGATGCAGAGGAAACTACCATGGATGAAGATGAAGACGAGGCGGCTTCTTGGCTGCTGCTTAATCCTAATCCCAATCCCAATCCTAATCCTGTTAAGAGCAACAACAGTACAAACATGTGTAAAGGAGGCAACAATAACAATAACGAGATGTCATGCGCAGTAGAGGCTGTGGATGCTTACTTGGACCTTGCTGAGTTTAGTTCATGCCACAACAACCTGTTTGAGGACAAGTATAGCATAAATCAGCAGCAGAATTACTCTGTTCCTCAGAGGAATATGAGCTATAGAGGGGATAGCATCGTCCCCAATCACGGGAAAAATCAATTCCATTATACACAGGGACTGCAGCAGCATAACCACCACGCAATTTTCAACTGCAAGGAATGGAATATGAGAATTTTAACACGGGATATGGTTATCCAGCATCCATCAGTCACACAGTAAGTTTTCTTCATCATATCCAATTGTCTCACTTCAGGTAAGACAATTTTATTTTTTTATTTTTTCATGAGGAATTTAAGATATCAATATTCCAATAAAACCCAACGTCAAGATATTTCTAGGAGATCATTTTAGTCATTCACTTGCTAGTCCTGTTTCTCCTTCGGGAATCAAGGTATGCAACTTCCCCTAAAGACTAATTATGATGCTCAAATCTCAAGGAAACGAAGCACCTAACTGGTATATTGTGATTTTGGGTTACCAGGTCTCCATTTCTTCCATGGATGTTGGTGTTGTTCCAGAGTCTACCTTGAGTGATACCTCAATCTCCCACTCAAGAGCCTCGAAAGGAACAATTGACCTCTTCTCAGGTCCTCCAATTCAGATGCCTCCACAGCTTCAGCTTAGTCAAATGGACAGGGAGGCCAGAGTTCTCAGGTACAGGGAGAAGAAGAAGACCCGCAAGTTTGAGAAGACCATCCGGTACGCCTCAAGAAAGGCCTATGCAGAAACCAGGCCAAGAATAAAAGGTCGATTTGCAAAGAGAACAGATGTAGATACCGAGGTTGATCAGATCTTCTATGCACCATTGATGGCAGAAAGTGGATACGGAATTGTTCCATCATTCTGAATCCAAAAACAGAGACAATCTTTAGAGCTACTTCAATTAGTGTATTCTTAGAGTTACTTCAATTAGTGTATTCTTAAGCATAACAGGTTGTTTCAATAATGAGATAAGCCCATTAACTATTCCAGCTATCGATCTTGTTGTAATTACCTGCATATATGAATATATTCATTCTGTGACCTTTAAAGATCACCATACTAGTGAAAAGTAAAAACTATGTATAAACTCAAAAAAAAAAAAAAAAAAAGAAGAAAAAGAAAAAAAGAACAGACCTAAAGAGAACGGCTAGAAAAAGAAAGATTGACTACGGAAATTTTTTACTCAAAAAGGATCAGAATTCAGCCAGAGGTAATGGAATAAAGGCAAAACTGATAACGACCTTAGGCACCCAAAAGCCATGAAGAACTTTTTGGGTGTGGCAATCTAATTGAAGCTCAGAACTGCTTTCTGCTTTCCATCAAGGTCCTCCTTTTGTCTGAACCTTGCTCTTTTTGAATGAAACACGGTGTTCATCAATAGCTGCTCTCTGGTCCTAGACCACTCACTCAAAAACTATTTGGACCCAGATTCGTTTAGTATAGACGTATAGTGAATACTCCAACGTGAGAGATAAGCAGAACAAATATCCATTGCCTGCAAAAAAAGAGGAAAGCTCTGGTGGAGATATTTTCCCCCCAAAAAAGAAAAATGGATATCATATCTACACACGGAAATACCTCAGACATCAGACAATAACATAACAAGGAAAAATTATATGTATGCCAAGGTGATTCCTATAGCTGTAAAAGTGTACAAGAGATGAAGATGTAAACCTGGACTCAAAAATTGACAAAAACGAAAGTTATACTGTTTTACACTTTTACCTGTAAAGAGACAATAATGCTATTTCTTCAACACAACAATAATATAATCTTTGAAGGTCTGTTTAGCATTAAAATGCATTATTTTAAGTTCTTCAAACACAACAGCAATAAGAAAATAAGTCAAAAAGAAGGAAACTGCTGCCTCCACTCTGTTTACCCTAAGGACATACTTTAAACAAAAAGCACACAAATCCACTGCAGCAGTGTGTATTATTACAGGATTGTTCAATTTTCAAAACATTTAAGAATACAATGAATTAGCAACCTGTGATAAAAATCGTACCTCTATGCAATGCTTCTATCTTAATTTCATTCATTTTATTCTTAGTGTGACCAGAATTATCATCATCATCCCTCTCTCATGTCGTGTGTGAGTTGAGTATTTGTTTATGGGCCAAAGATGGGGAAATATTTTGAGTAGCAGAACCCAATGGCTTGTGTATGCTCAAATACCATATTGAATGACGCCTTCCATCTCAACTAGAAGTTTAAGTTGTTAGTGAGGTTCATATATATATATCACCAACGGGTTTTAAACAAAAATATGAAACCAATGGCAAAGGTATTATAAAGAAATTCTAGAGGTACTTTATGTTTTGGATAATGCCCATGATAGACTTAGACCTTTGTTTCCTACTGCAACAAGCAGACATCAGATTAACTTTATGATATAGCAGAATAAAGTCATACCTCAACAGCTCAAGAGACCACCATTGAATAGAATTTATTATTCTTTTTCCCAGACAGACATTTGTAGCTTCTATAGTTGATTAGTTGTGCAAGAGCATAGCTGATTGACTTTGAAAGAATAAAGGCTAAATTCTAATATTTGAAAGTGTACATTTATTTGATTATAAGATTAGTATAAAAGTATCACTCAATTAATTGAATAATATATGACTCGTTTGTTTGCAATTATCTTAAAAAATTAATATGTAAAATGATTTATGTAATTATATTATTACTAAAATAAATATGGGGAAAAAGGAGGAATAATTTAATTGCAATTATTATAAAAATAAAATTGTTTTCATTAGAGAATAAAAGTAATTTACAGGTCTGGGCAAGCAGCCAAGCAGAACTGAATAGCTGGTGATATAGTTATTCTTGATGAGTAATAACTAATAACTGATAAAATAGTTAAACAAGAAAGTTTAGTGTTATTAAAAAAAGAGGAAATTTCAATTTTGGTCATATAACTATGGGGTCTTGTTAATTTCAGTCCCTGACTTTCAAAAGTGTCAATTTAGTACCTTAACTATACAATTTTTGTCAATTTTAGTCACTCCGGCGAAATTGCCGACCAAATTTCGCCGGAAAATTTTAATAGTTAAAATAATGAGGGTATTTTGGTCGTTTCACGCCTCTTTTCTTCTTCTCCGGCGAGTCCATCTTTTTCTCTCCCGTTTCCGACGTTCTTTTTCCCTCTAAACCCTATCTTTAATATCATCAAGCCTCCTTTCCCCATCATCTTAGTTCATTGCATTCACGGGAAACGGGAGAGGAAGGGTTGGACTCGCCTGGGAAGATGAAAAGAGACGTGAAATTATCAAAATACCCTCATTATTTTAACAATTAAAATTTTCCGGTGAAATTTGACCGGCAATTTGACCGGAGTGACCATAATTGAAAAAAATTGCATAGTTAAGGTACTAAATTGACACTTTTAAAAGTCAAGGACTGAAATTAACAAGACCCCTATAGTCATATGACCAAAATTGAAATTTCCTCTTAAAAAAATGCAAAATAGTTGTACCAAAAAGTTTTCATTCCAGACCACCTATCAGCTATTGCACTGTCCAACCTTTTCCTTTGTCCAAACTTAAATGAAAAAATGAAAAGAATGACAGGAGAAAAAGATGAAGGATGGTTAAAAAAAAAATCTTATCACCTTCAGTTCCAAGAAAAGGAAAACAATTAACTAAAAGCAAGCTACAGAATTCCTTTGGCAGAAAACCATACTCTACTATATTAGTTTAGGAATCCTTTGTGGCTCACTTATTAAGATTTGAAATTAAAATAAATCATGCAGAACGGAACAGAGATATCTTTAAATGGCCTCAAAATGGTAAATTATCAGGATGATACATCAAACTAAGCAAATGAGTGTACCTTAGAGTATTGCAATTTAGTTTAGGATGCAAATTTGTAAAGAAAAAAAAATGGTAAGTCCTGGCTTAGCAAAGAATACATAAAAGCTGTGGTGGAGGTAAAAATTTTGTGGCTAAGATATGTTAGAAAGCATTGCTAAGTTGTTTACTTTTCAAGGGCTTCCTGATCTTATAGTACTTTAAGTATCCAATTCTGGTCTGTTGTTGGCTCAACACAGGAACTTTTTCCACTTTAGAAGTTCTTGAGAACACTCACCATTGTGTCACCTGTGTTATTTAACACTCAAAAGAATCAATGACTGATATAGACAGATTGTTTGAGATATTTCTCATCCAAACACTTACCCATCTGAAAGAGGTGGGAATCTATAAAAATCTCACATTATTAAAGATGGAATATTTAACTGTACTAGCTAGCTCCAGAGGAATTTTACAAGCTTATCCTTTCTCTGAACCACATCTCCAGTTCTCCATAAAATATGTTTCAAAAATTTCAGAAAATAATCGTTCTTTTGGTTTGATTTAGCATGCATCGAAGGTTAACAATAGGTGCACTAAACCCAGTTTAAAGAAATATGATGTAACTGAAGAATATTACGCTTTTCTAATTTTGAAAGGACTTATCTCAGAATGGAAAAAAAATAAAGATTAAGTTGAAAAGTTGAGGCTCCTATTAAGTTGAAAATTTGAGGCTCCAAAGCCTGAATGCCTGATACTTGGTATATTGCATACATGTAACCAAAGAGGTCCCTCCTAATCCAAAGGCAATAAAAGTATCTATTTCTGCTCTGCCATTTGTTGACTCTTCACACTTTCTTGCTCCATCAAACAAACATAACCATGAGAGCAATCTCAGTATTGAGTCACTGGTATTCCAAAACCAGAAGCTATAGTGGAACAGAATTTAAAAAATACTTACTGCCAAATTGAATGGTTTGGGAGAGATGATTATCAAAAAGGTCAAACCACAGTGTGCTGACTTTAGCACTCAATAATAGAAAACGCAATCTCATTCCTCCCTTTCAACCATTGTGACTTAGTAAATTGTTTCAATAAAAGAGTTTATTTCATTCCAATGATTAATGCTGAAAGGTGAACTAAACAATATTGACATAATAACTTAACTGTTAAGACCACACCTTTTTCTTTAAACTTTCTTTTTCAAATGGGACTTTTAGGGGAGAAGTCCTAAGAGGAAAGTTAGCATAAAGAAAATACTTGTGGCTCCAAAGCACGATACCTGGTTTCAGCCATTAATACTGACAAAGAATGGATCAAAACTTTTCACACATGAGGCATCCGTGATCCTTTGGAACTTTATGTATATGTTTCTGCTTTGCTATTCAATGAACATCAATACTTTTCTCCACCTAGTTGCATCCTGACAAAGATTCTTCTCACCATGTCCTTGTTATATTAAGGCTGAAAAACATATAACATTAATAAATAAATAAATAAGCATGACTTTGAAGATATGTACATCAACCTTTGCCATGAATTAGAAACAAATGGAAATCTGTTAAAAACAAACTTCCTAGATATGCACACCCTGCAAAAAATAATGTGCAGCAATAGTATTGAGGCAACTTGAGGTCTTGAGGTCAACAATAAGGCCAGATGAAAATGAAAAATTCAGAATCAGTCCTTGAAATGTAGAGCAGTACACTAATGGATGGACTCAAATAATAACTGTTCTATATTTTTCTTTTTTAATTTTCTTCTTCTCCATTTTTGAGGATAGGGAAAAAGTTAAACCATTAAAGGTAGGAACTATATTCTTTACAAAAAGCACACTGCCTAGTTAAACCAAGGGATATGTAAAATTAATAGCCATGAAAGAAACATAAGAATCTTTTCATTTTAGTGCAACTTCAACAAAGAAAGGTCAAAATCACTTCAAGTGACTGTATCAACCACTACTTTAGTGCTCATGAGGCCATCTAAAGTTCATGCCTTTTGACACCAAGAATTAATGCCTAATAGCACGTATACAAGTAGACAAAAAACTAACTCGTGACTCTTCTTCAATTTGTAGCCTCAGATTCTAGTTTCATCACCAGTATACACTACAGATATTATTCCTTATAGCAGAATAATGGCACAAAAATTTACAAAACAAGAAAAAAAAAATAAAGAAAGAAATATAAGGTTCCATGATTACTCTTCTGAGTTTATTTAAGTAATGGCTATATATTCATACTTGAGAGTTAAAGGCTAAAGACACTGGATACTCAGCAGTGTATTGAAGATTAGAGAGATTGGATACTCCACAGTCTATTTAAGGTTAGTAAGTCAATCTCAAATCTTTGTGGATGTGTCTACAGTATACAGCTTAGAAGCCTCAAACCACACTTTATTACAATGAAAAATCCAATATGATTCAACAGCCTTTTTCAAAAGTGTAGATAGCTGAACTGACTTTATAAACAATCTACTGTAGAAGGAATAAAGTTCAAATTGAGGGCCTTTGATTCATAGATGTTAAAATCCTCATAGATAACTCAAAAGCTGAAAGTCCCAATAGCTACTAATTAATGTTTCAGTGATTAGCATCTTAAGAATTGAGTTTAAGTAGTAAGTGTTTCTCGTGGCTGGAGAAGTGCTTCCAGTGCTAGGAAAGCTTTTGTATAAATGGTCGCATTTTATGCATTAAGCCAACATTATAAGAGTATAATTAAATTTTCACAAAAGCGCTAATCACACAAGATAATGCTCTCTAGAAATTAAGCACAAGTGATATATTCACTCAATATCCAATGGCATTCGAATTGGAGCGGAAAGACATGATTCCCCAATTTGCAAGAGAGTTCTTAACAATTTTGTATTATTATATGGGCCCAAATGAGAATCTTCATTGCCTTCTCAGCAGCACATCATACTCAAACTCAATATTTTAGCCATGAATCCCTAAAATGCATAGGGATAATTCAACAATGAAAAAGTTCCTCATTATCCCTACTATGATCACTATCCAATTTGGAAATTTTCAGCTAACCAGCACTCAATAGTTCTCAGATGTAATTCCTAATCACTAATCAGTAAGGCCTCAAATTAAAGCTACAACAGAATTTCATACATTATCATCCATCGGAATTGCTAACAACTATAGCTACTAAAAATGCCAATGCACTTCAAATAATCAAAACTAAATATAACGAAGACTGCAAATTATGCTCTATGGTATACCGATTATGAGCATCATTCGTATAATCGTATGCAAGCAATTAAATAGCAATAGTCGAAAGTAAATTTAGGATTAAAGTTTTCAGGCGATAAAATTGCGAGAAAATACCGGTGACGGCGGGATGGTTGCGGTTGCATGGCGACTTTCAAACGTCTTACCATGTCGCTCCACGTGTCTGTAAAAAGGTTGAGCAAAAGAGATGATGACATCAACGCGGCTGTTCTCTTGTCATCTTGTCTCGTCAGATCGTTTTCTCAGGGCTTGAAAGTCATTGGGCCGGATTCTCTGGGGCCCAATAGTCCGGTCCAATGCTATCTATAGGCCTTGGCCGTAGCTTCTGGACCCACAAATTCCCGAGCTGGGCCCATTAAATTAGGATACAAATATCTAAAACTTTTGCTATTAAGAAATAGGCAAATTTTGTTATGGATCATGTTGATCATAAAGCAAAATAGAGTGATATCATTTTAATTATACTTTAGTTTCATTTGATAATATTATTTTAGTTTTTAGTTTCATTTTTCATAACATTAATTTCATTGTATTGATACTAAAGTATTATTTCAATTTTACTACAATTTTATTTAACAATATACGTTATTGCATGAGCTCTATTTTTTTATTTTTTTTTTTAGTTTCATTTTTCACACACATTAGTTTAATTATAGTAATGTTGAAGTATAATTTTAATTACACTTCATGTTCATTTGGCAATATATGTTATTGTATGAGTTCTGTTTTTTTCAGTTTTATTTTTCACATGCACTAGTTTTATTATAACAACACTAAAGTATAATTTTAATTATACTACAGTTTCAATTGACATTATATGTTATTGCATGATCTCTGTTTTTTTTTTTTTTTTTTTTTTTCACAGACACTAGTTTCATTTTAACAACACTATAATATTATTTTAACTCTAGTATAGTTTCATTTGATAATTATATTGGACCATTGTCCACTATACTGTATAACAACTATAAGGGATAATTAGATATTTCGACGCTATATGTACTCAGTAATTACATAAATATTTATTTTTAGTATATTAAAAGTTCTTTTTTTTTTTTTGTATTAAAAGTTTATGTTTTAAAGATTCAATTTTTTAGTATATTACTTGAAAATGAATCAATAATACATTAAAAATAAACATTCACTATACTGCTAGATTTTATACTTGTAAGCTTGTAATACACCGTGACTTCATAAAAAATTAAGAATAATTTTTATTTTTTTTTTTCATTTTTTTGTTTACATGTCAACTTGTAAGATTAAGGGAGCAAGATATTCGTATAGCTTCTCAACTTTTTATGTTGATGGACTCCAATAAATCACCAAACATCACACTACATAACGCCTATGGAAATCTATCTATTTTGAGGATAAGGACAACAGAAGAGGTTAGAAGTTCAACAAAATTTTGAGAGTGGTGAATACGGCAATTTATATCCTACACCACGGCGCGCGTTGTAATATGCGCCCAGATGTAAAACAACGTCGTTTTAATTTTTAATTTTTTGAAATTTCCCGCCCCAGTGAATGGCAGTAGTTTTTTCTTAAAAAAAAAAAACCCGCTGTTTATGAATGTACATAATGTTATACTAGAATACACATAATTGTATACATGAATGTACATAATTATATAACAAAATATACATACTTTTTTTTTAAAAATAATACACATAATCTAACATAATACATAATAAACATAAACTTTTAACATAATACACATCAACTATTAACATAATACACACAAATTTTCTGATTCGGATGTACATAATTGTATAAAAAGAATGTACATAATTGTATAAAAAATGTACATAACTGTATGAACAAATACACATAACTGTGTGAACAAATACACATAATCCCAGCAACTTCCTACCGCGCCTCCCAAAATGACGTCGTTTTGGGAGGCGCGCGATGCACAGTGCTATGTGCGCCGTGGCGTAGGGTATAACGATTGGGTGAATACGGGTTACACAAGTTGCCCATACATGCCCGGGCCCAATTCAGACTTGACTAGACTCATCAAAGTGGACTAAATTTACTTAGGCATGATCACGATTCAGTTCAGTTAAAAAATACTCCGTATAAAGTAAAATTAAAAAAAAAAAAATCCAAAATCCTATTTGAATCGAAACCGCCAATTCCAAAACTGGAAATGAAACCTTTATACAAGGGTCCGGTTCTAATAAAGTATTTTGAAACTGAAAATTGTCCATTCAGAGTCGAAATCGAACCGTGAGCATGAATAAATTTACCGCTCTACTCTCCGGACCATAGTTTTGAGTTTTGAACTAACTCAGCAATGCCAGATGTCAAAAACTGGAGTCAGGAGTCACATGATGCGTGGTTTTACGGTCTAAACTTCTGTAGCCTATGAAACACTTCTGTCAACTCCGGCACCAGGTTTTTTCCTGATCTTTCTGGCGAGCCAATAACTCTTTAAACTTTGATCAGTTTGCATGCAGAAAATGGAGGAGAAGAGAATAGGCATCGTCGGAGCCGGAATCAGCGGGCTGTTAGCGTGCAAACACGCCATGGAAAAGGGCTTCACGCCGACAATCTTCGAGGCCAAGAACGGCGTCGGCGGAGTCTGGTCGGAGACCATTGCTTCAACCCGCCTACAAACTCCCAAAGACCACTACACCTTCTCAGATTTCCCGTGGCCTGATTCCGTCACCGACACCTTCCCCGACCACGACCAGGTTTTGGACTACATTGTCTCCTATGCCGTCCGCTACAACATCCTTCCTCAAATCCGGTTTAATTCCAAGGTGGTTAGCATCCACTATCACCATGGTAATGAAGAAAAGGATGTTCTGTGCAGAAAGGCGGCCTTCTCTTCTAAGGGTAAATGGAGTGTTGTTGTGCAGAATGTGCGGCACCCAGAGAAGCCAAATGAGGTTTACGAGTTTGATTTTGTAGTTCTGTGCATTGGGAAGTTCAGTGATGTACCAAGAATCCCTCAGTTTCCTATGAACAAGGGACCAGAGGTGTTTGATGGCAAGGTTATACACTCCATGGATTATGCTGCAATGGGCAATTTCCATGCAGCTCAGTTCATCAAGAACAAGAGAGTTACAGTGGTTGGGTTCCAGAAATCTGCAGTGGATATTGCCACAGAAATTGCTAGACTAAATGGTATATATATGCTTCAATTCCTCTAATATATACTCTGCAATTCTGCATATATATGAATTTAATGATATGTTGGTTTTAAACTGACAGAGAAACTGCACATTTATTTATTTATTATTTAAAAAAAAAAAAACATTTTTGACCCTGAATTGTTTCACTTTTAAAAATTTGATCTTTGTTAGTTAAACAGATTTTGATATCACATCGACTCCACAAGAGATTGTGGAGTGGTACTTAAATTGGGGCCAAACCTCCACTAATGAGCTAGCTTTTGTGGTGAAGTTAGGGTCTTGGTTTGAGTATTGTATCATTTGCTGCTCTTGTTAAGAGACCGGAGTGTGGTGGGAAAGGGCTAGCTGGAAGAGGGCTACCCTTTATAAGGTTCAGCGGAGGAGACAACCTAGAAAAGAGCTACTACCAGGTGCTTGATAAGGTTCGGAGTGAAGCCATCCAAAGGGGAAAAGGGCTACCTAGTGCCGAGAAGGGTCCGGAGTGTGAGCTGTCTAGCTAGCTCATGAGTGTTGGGTTCGTATCATTTAGTCTTTTAATTGTCCATTATGTTGCATTTTCATTGGTGTTATATAATTATTAAACTCCTTTAGCAAACTAATAACTTCATATGTTGATGGAATTTGACAATTATATAACGTCAGGAATTAAAAGTGCAACATTATGAACAATTAAGGGACTAATTGTGTTTAAATTAACTTACCTAGACTAAATTTCTAAAAGTGAAACAATTTAGGGATCGTAAGTGTCCTTTCCCCTATTATTTATATATATATATATATATTATGCTCCACCATATGATCAGAAGTCAGAATAGTCTATGATTAAGATTTGTGTTTCTAGGGACAAGATTTCCTTGTACACTCCTACATAGGACAGTACATTGGACAGTTCCAGAGTCACTTGTGAAACTGTTGTTTACCAATCTGAATAGATTTTCAGAGTTTCTGATCCATAAGCCCCAGGAAAGCTTCTTCATTTGGCTATTGGCAGTTCTTGCTTCACCCCTGGTAATATATATACATATATGTACATATATTCACTTATCATTCACAGTATCAATCCGTGGATATCACACATTCAAAGCCGATAATTGTATACGAAAAGTGTGATTTTAACCCTTCAATTATTAGCGTTTAATTGTTTTAGCACGTCCTAACTATATTGATGATCCTTGCATCTGCTTTCAGCTCTGGGTGTTTTCTAAGGCTGTGGAGAGTTATCTGAAATGGATTTACCCGTTAAAGAAGCACAACATGGTTCCGGATCATGGATTCCTCGAGCAGATATCCTCGTGCAAATTCACAGTTCTGCCAGCAGATTTCTACAGCAAGGTTGCAGAAGGTAGCATCGTGCTAAAGAGATCAAGAACATTTAGCTTCTGCAAAACAGGCCTGATTTTACAGGATGATGATGATGATGATGATGCTTCACCTCTCGAGACGGATGTTGTTATCTTTGCAACGGGGTACGAGAGTGATGAGAAACTCTGCAGTATCTTCGCCTCGAATCACTTCAAGAATCGCATTACTGGCTCATCAACTCCCCTCTACAGGTAAGAAAACACCCATACTGCATATTTCACGAGTCATATGTGTTTATAAGGTTATGAGTTAGACCAGCTAATTGATTAGATTCAGTCTTTTAGTGTGGCTGGTTTGGTCCATGTGCATGTCTTGATTATAACATGGTATCAGAGCTAGACTAGCTACTTGATTGGATTCAATCTTTTAGTGTAGTTGGTTTGGTCCATGTGCATGTCTTGATTATAACATGGTATCAGAGCTAGACTAGCTACTTGGTTGGATTCAATCTTTTAGTGTATGCAATGTAGGGGGTGCATTGATCCGCACATACCGCAGCTGGCCATTCTCGGGTATTCAGAAAGCCCCTCAATACTGCACACCACGGAAATGCAGAGCAAATGGCTGGCGCATTTTCTTGCAGGGCAATTCGGGTTGCCTAAAGTGAGCGAAATGGAAGATGATGCAAGGAGATGGGAAAAATGTCTGCAAAAATATGCTGGCAGACACTACAAGAGAGCTTG